GAGCTCAATTATGTATATGTACGAGTAAGTAGTATTTGCGCGATTCACAATTAACGTGTCAAAATCAGGGTGCTAAACCATCCTATTACCAAGCAATTAAGGCCTAGGAAAATTTATAATAATGGGAAATAAAAAAGGCACAGAATACAGAACTCGCCTGTAAAAGTCTAACATTTGGCCCCGCCTGAAATAAAAATATACAAAAAAATAAAAATAAATAATAAAAATATTAGAAAATAAATAAATAATCCGTAATTCTATTTGATGTAACAATATTTGAATGAAACTTGTATTTTCAATCATTGAACTGTGCGTGAAAGACAGATTTTATATGCATATTTTTCGATACAAACTCTGGGAAGTTATCAAAGAAGCCTCTTGAATAAAGTCTAAATGCAAAGATCCCTGCTGAATGAGCTTCAGCCCGACACCGAGCCTGAGCCTACACCCCAGAGGCTGGCTGTTAGTGGCGGCTGTTTTGTGCCACTTCCGACAGCAACCAAGACGACTGCGGCGCGGCGCGGCGCGGTGCAACTTGGCTTGGACTTTGGCTAAATGCTCCGCTGGCGTTGGCTGCCATTTGTCAGGCAGCAGACCGCAAAATAGTTGCACTGTTGGGCGAGTGTATACCGCCTGACGCGATAATAAGAGCGATGAGGAGCGTTAAGGAACCCCAGCCCCACAGTGTGAGAACTGCTGCTGCGGCTGCTTCTCCGTGTTTTTTATTCTTTTTGCTTTTTTTTTTCTGCTGTTGCTGTTCGTTTTTCGCTAGTTTTCGCGTGGAAAATAAATACCAATCTACATAAAAGTGGAAACCAAATAGGAGAAACACAGCCAGCACAGTCCGTTTGCTGGCCATTTGAAAAGAGGGAAAAAACGAAAAACCTGCTGCTGCTGCTGTCTGCTTGCCTGCCTTGCCGCCTATTGAGAGCAACAACAGGAGGTGAACGGAAGAAGAACTGGACAAAAACCAGGCGAAACGAAGCTAGCGAACCACTGCGCATTGGAAATGGGAGTAAGTGCATCGATAGCAGTCGGCAATCACGAAATACATGCCGATAGTTTATATGAAATTCAAGTGGAATCTGTAGAAAACTCACCACCAAAGCTTTGCCTAGGAGTTCTGAAGATTCTACCATCATATGTACTCAATTATATTTGAAACAAGAACTCCATTTCGTGACTCACTCCACCATCTCTAGTGGGGATGTGGCAACAGTGGACTGGGAAGTTTTGCGGTTACAATTTGGAGCAGAGGCCGGGACAGGAGGGGCCGGGCCGGGCCGGGCACCAGTCTAGTTTTGATGAAATTGCTCAAAATAATAGGGTGAAAATGCAGCTTTCTGCTGCTTTCTGGGCTGCTTCGCTTTTTAACTCTTTCGCGCTGTGGCTGTGAAAGACCAAAGAGGCTCGTCCGTCGCTTGCACTGCATTCAGCTAACAACCGACTCGACTCCGACTTCCCGCACCGACAAATGCTTTGGCACAAAAGTCCGAGAGTTCAGCACGCACAGTGGGATACAGTGGTAGCCTGAACCGCCCCGCCCCCTCTCCCGACTCTATGGAGTTTCGTGTTTGGTTTTGTTTCTGGCAAAAAAAGTGGGTGAAAAAAGCGAGTGAAAGATTTGTGGTGCAGTGGGTTTGGGGTCTGGTGTTTGAAGTTTGACTTGACAAAGCTGAGATTTCAACGCGGTTTCTATAGGATTTGTACACGTAATGGAAAGCGAGAAATACTCGCATGTTTGAGCCTCCAATTAGGTATTTGCACAGCGGTTACAGAACTCTCTCTTGGAATGATTCCTTATCCATCCACATTCTGAAAATAATTAATATAAATTCCTTCCTTCTCACTATATCAATCAAGTTATAATCGGTCGCAAAAGCATAAGGGGATAAAGAATAATCCGCAAAATCTATTTATACATACGTACACTCAGAAAAAAATGGCCTATTAAAATGAAACACACCCAGATTTAAATTAAATATTGGGTTTTGAAATACGAACATAATGAAATTTTATTTACTTTTCTTTAAGCATATATTAAATATATTTTTATAAAAAAAATATATATAAAATTTAGTATACTTTAATTTGGTGGCAAATAAATTTGATTTAAATATGAAATATATTTATTTTTAATAAGAAAGTAAGTGTAAATATTGAAGGGGTTTTTTCTCTGGGTGTACTACAAATCAATTACTTTAATCAATTTTTAACACGTTTGCGCTTCTTCACACCCAAGGCGCCTCTGTCCCAAGCTCTCCACAGATTTTTTGCCTTCCAGTTTTTGTTAAAATTTTAATTATAAAGATTAAACACGGACAGAAAGAGGAGAGCGCGAGAATAGAGACAGAGAGAGAGAGAGAGAGAGAACACTAACCTGCCATAACAAACTTGAAATAATATTTAAGAATTTTTATTGAAATAATAGCAAGCTATGCAGGTAGTGGCAGTCCCAGAACCACAGACAGAGCGAGGGGTGGATGGGATGGATGGAGGGGCAGCAGCCAGACGCGAATCGCGGTTCGTCAGTGTCAGGCGAGAGGCGAACATCAAAGGCGGAATGGAAGACCAACCGTTCGCTGGAAGACAGCGGACGGGTGAGACAGAAGAGAGAGAGAGAGAGAGGGAGAGGCAACTGATTGGGGGCGACGACAGGCTGTCGTCGTCGTCGTTTCGAGGTTTCTTCTTCAGAGTGCCGTTTCGCCGCCGCTCTTTCTAATTGAAATGTTCCGCACCATATTTCTGTACGCTTTACCACCTGCTGGCTGCCTGGCTCCGCTCCTCAGAGGAGCAAATGCTCGGCATCTCCCCCTTTTGCTAAATAGTTCACTCTGCAGCAGGGACTGGGCAATGGGCAATGGGCATGGGCATGTGCATGGGCAATGGGTGCTCTCTGGATAGCGGTTTGCAGCGAAGCAGCATACAAAAAACTGACCAGCCACAACGGGCATTCCCCCATCCCATCCCAACCCAACCCAACCCATCGTTATCGTCGCCAAGTGAAGCTCATGATGATAAAAGCAGTTGAGCGACACAAAGCGATTATTTCTCAACACCTTAGCATATTTCTATTACATTTTCGTCAGTTAGTTTTTGTACTAATTTTGTAGGTGTTTCAAGGATCTGTTAGAGAGCAGAAACTACGGCAATTATGCGCTCTTTATGCTTCATAGTCTCCAGTTAATTTAGTTCGTATTTCAGACATCCCTAGAACTTCTTTCATATCTTACAGTCCCTTAGTTTCTCCTCTTTTTCAAGGGTATTCATTAGTCGTGGCTGCTGCTTTAGCTCCAATTTTCGCTCGTTTTTTATGTTTTGTTTGCAGGTCTTTACACTGCTCGTTCATCCATCGTCTGCAGTTTTCTAGGAAATAATTCTCTGTGTTTCTCTGTTTCTCTGTTGTTTTTTTTCAGTTCGTTTTTTCTTTCCAAAGCGCTGTCTCGTCTCGTCTAGTTGCGTCTTCATAGTCAGTCCATCCCGTTCATGCCACAAGGATGGAAATGGTGATGGTGCTCTGGGTGCCGTGCCCGTGGCCCCCACTGCTGTCGGCGAGAGTGTCACACCTGTCACTTTTGTGGCCTGATCACAACAACCGCCGACGAGCGTCGACGAGCGTCGACGACCTCGCCCATCCCATTCACGTCTCTGAATGGGATTTGGTATTGGGATGGGGCTGCAAGTCGCTGCAACAAGGTGTGAACCTCAAATAATCACCTTTGCACACGGCATGTCGACAAGACCCTTTAGGGGTTGGGGGGATGGAACTTCCCCACCTTCGCCGTGGTACTATTTGCTTTTCGTTGGAAAATTTTGCGCATTTCCTTTGGTTTCTCGTTTTCTTTCGATTTCATGGAAATGTGTGAGTTTTCAATGGAACACGCAGCTCTCCTCGTTCCCCCCTCTGCCTCTTATGTTTGCATAATTATTTTATTGCAAGACCACGCCCACACACACTCGTGCAAGGGGCCAAATGTCTTATGAATATTAAAACAAGAGCAAAGGAAAGCCAAGACTTTGTCGTCATCATTGCTGCAACTATTCCAACAGGACAGAGACAGAGATAAAGCCGGAGCCAGAGACAAAGCCGGAGCCAGAGCCAGACAGAGCCAAAGTGCCCGAAAGCATTTCCCTTCAAAGCTCCACAGCATTATTCCCCCTCTCCCACCACCACCGCCTAGACAATTTCCAACCGAAAAACTTTTGTTCTGCCTGAAAAGAGGAGCGCAGCATCACTGTAGGCATTTCTTCAATTAGCGTTTTTATTATTTTTAATTAACAATTTTGTAACTTAATCCTTGCCGCATAGTGTGCCACTCGGCGCCACGGGTAGTGCTGAAATTTTTGCCAATCCCCGAGCCCCAATGCACCCCCCAACCACCCACCCACCAGCGCATAATCGAATCAGACCCGCTTGAGTAAAGTTTGTCCAAAGACAAAAAACTTTTCCCTGTTTCCCGGGTCCGGGGAGCGCTGCCAGACATGTGCATAATTATGTTGGGCCCCCAAGGAAGGGCAGAGTGGTGGGAGTGGCACAGACAAAAGGGTGGACACTAATTGAGCGATGTTTGTTGTTGCAAAGAAATGTTTTCCAACTTGCAGCAGACAACTGGTAGACAGAATGCCATTGGCCAAGGAAGTAGTCGCCGGGAAAAGGGCTTGGGCGAATTGTGGGAATTAAGTTTGACAGACTGGAAAAATGGCAATTATGTTGTGGATATGATTATCATACAGAAGGACTGACTGTTCATACATAAATGCTGGCTGGCTGGGGGTGAAAGTTCTAAGGAAATGATTACTCCCCAAATGGGATTTGGATTCCTTTTAGTAAATATATAAGAACAAAGTTTTCAAATGTCATTAGAGTTCCGCATGGGATCGACAACCCCTTCAATAAAGTTCCTGCGAGTAATATTCTGCAGTAAATAGCAACTGGGATTAAGGGTCAAAGTTCTTTGTTCCCAAAATGGAGGGAGGATAGAAACAAAGGCATTCGATTGTCCTGAACTGTATTAACCAAGTCATTTATTTATCCTTTCTAAAGTCATAGAGCACCACGCTGCTGTCATCCGACCAGGCCCCATCGACCGGAGTGAATGGCCTGGAGCTTATGGTGAGGCCGCACTGTATGCAGACGTTCCTCAGCACCAGCAGGCACTCGTGACAGTAGGGCAGCCCGCAGCCGGCACAGATGACAAAGTCCTGATCCTCGAGAGCATCGCAAATGAGGCAGTTCCGCTTGCCGCAATTCCAGTGCTGCAGGCAGCCGAATAAGCTGGGCCAGAGCAGACGCAAACGCAGAAAGATGTTGAGGTTGTCCTGGACACGGCGCGTGGCTAGATTCTGCTCGGCATTGCGGCGCAGGCTCTCAAAGACGGAGAGACGATCCCGCAGCATGGCATTGTAGAGGAAGAGGACGCGCTGCTTCTCGCGCTTGTGGAAGAAGTAGCTGCAGATCACCCGACGCAGCCGCAAGAAGGTGGTGCTCTGGTAGATCAGCAACACGATGGCCAGATACAGCAGGATCAATCGGTAGTAGACACTTTGGGGCAGGACGTGGGCATTGGGCAGACACTCCTCGTTGCTCAGCGACGTGGAGACGCGCTCGTGCATGTTGAAATTCCGCATGGTGGTGCGCAGCAGACGAGCCATCATACCAGTGCCATTTATCTGTAGGAATATACATAGATCCCATATCATAGATCGTAGAATTATGTCAGAGCTCACGTGAAACCGTATCTCGTGCTCGCCCTCCTGTTGGTATGTGATCAGCGATCGCTGGTGTATGATCTGCAGGAGACTGACGACCATGTGATCCAGCAGGAGAAACAGTCCCGCTGTGATCACCTCCAGCGACAGCTGCAACAGATGATATATCACCGTTCGGGACTCCTCCGCTGTGCGACCGCAGATATGTGCCACATCCACATAGTTGGCCCGCTCGTGGCTGTGCAGCGGCAGGATCGAACGCTTCCCATTCGCCTTGCGCCCCGCATCCACGTGCTTGAAGTAGTCGGTGATGTAGAAGTTGTCGAACTCCACGTTGCCCCGATACAGGAAATAGTACCGGATGGAGGCGAAGATCACGCGCAGGATGAAGAGGCACAGGAACTTCTCGAGGACCAGCATGGTGGCCCTGAAGACGCGCCTCCGATGATTGAAGTCTTCCATAAATGCCTCCGAGGTCTGCTGGGCCGTCAACAGCTGACCCTTGGCCGTCTCGTTCCTCAGCTCGTAGGAGATCTCAATGTCGGAGCTGGCGTCGAAGAGGTCCCGCTCTGTCCTCAGCATATCCACATACGTCTGGCCAAAGTTCGGCGGCACCACCTCCGAGGCATCGCATATCGTGTCCGGACTGCCAAAGAGGTTCAGCCGGCAGATGATGTCCACGCGGTAGGGCCAGCAGATGGCGGCGGCGATGAAATCGGGAAAGTTTGTGCTGCACTTCTGGTAGCCCTTGCGGAAGACCTCCTGGCAGACGCGGATGCCACTGCTCAGCTGCTGCTTGCAACGGTTCCGCATGTTGCGAAGGAAATTCTCGCGGACCGTGTCGGCCGAGGGCAGCTCTTGGTCCGACTGCGCTGGAGTCCTGTGATCTGTCCCATCCTCATCCTCGTCGGGCGACTCCTCCTCGACGGCGTACTTGAGCTCGCCCAGGACTTCCTCTAGCTCCCGAAAAGTGTTCCGTATCTCCGCGATGTCGCCCCGCATGTGCTGCAGCGTGTTCGTAAAGGGTCTGGCCATCAGATCGAACCGCGTCTTGGTGAGGTTGTACGTCAGCACCGTGGTGCAGGCAAACACACGGGCCACCTCCCCCGCATTCGAGGCTAGGTTATCGATCGGTCCCGCTATCACAAAGGCCAGGGCGATGGCCCGAAGGTAGCTGCGTCCCGACTTACCCACAAGCGCTACAAATATCAGCATTGTCACGGCCCGAACACTGCGGATCAGCATGAAGGCCAGTCCGTTGAGCAGCATGAACACCTCGAAGACGGGCACATGCACGGGCATGGAGGCAAACCAGCGGTTCAGGTTGAAGTTCAAGGCCACCAGGCCCCAGAGCAGATAGGCGAGCAGAAGGCCCACCAGGAATCTTCCCAGATAGCGTACGGGCTTGAGCCAAGCCTCATCTTCCGACTCCTGGCCGTACAGCAGGCAGTACAGGGGCCTGTTGGCTTGCAGGCCAATTGCTTGCCGAATTCTCTTTGTCAGAAAATGAAACATTATCCAGGCACTACTCTGGCAGGGTTTACTTGGGTCTGAGACAGACACAGAGAGCGAGACAGAGAGAGAGAGAGAGAGCTCAAGGTTAAGGAAAGATTATCAGCCAGACAAAGTGCTGGAGTAAGGATGCAGCTGCGCTAGTTCTTAACTGTTTCACGGCTGAGCCCAATGCACAGCAGACAGGTCCAGACAACTTTCCGTTGGGTAGGAGAATGCGAGAACATTTATTTTAATGTCGGTCCGGTCCCACTCCAACGGGTAATCCAATTATAATGGAAGCTGCAGTGGAGCTGGGAGCACCTGCCCCACTCGGGGGGATTCTTCTAAAATATAAAAATTGATTACATGCGTGTGTGTGTCTGTCTCCTTTTGGAATATGCTCCGCCATCTCCTCTTGAACTTGTTTGTTGTTTAAAAATTTATGAACTGCAGTCAAGCGATAAAAGATGGATGGGATTGAATGCAGTCCATGAGGAGCAACAGAAGCAGCAGCAGGAGCAGCACTCACCTCCACCTCCACTCCAAAATTGATGCAGTTGCTCAATGTCGTCGCGCTTGGCGGTGTCACTCGCTGCATATTAAACAGTTTTTGAGAACAGTCGGGGAGCAGTTTAAGTCTCAGGTCTCTGGTCTCAGGTCCCAGCGGCGGCACTTCATCAGCTTGGGCATCGGGTTCGAGTGTGCTAAAAAATTGATTGATCCTGCAAGTGCCACTAAGTGGGGCGAGCTACAGCGCCAGCTACAGCTTCTCTTTGCCACTGGTCTCCTCTACACGTATCTGGCACTGCAAGGGCACTTTGACGACATCATCCCTTAGACGTAGACGTAGCCGACGAGACGGGGCGTGGTCGCACGCATTAAAACAATTTAAAATTCCCAAAGACCCAAAACACTAGGCAGAGTCTACAGTGGGTGGCATCTCCAGAGTGAGTGGCGGCAGCATCACTGGGAGAAAACTTTTATGGGATCCCAAAATAAAGGTTCGTTTCTGAGAGTTTAATTTTGGGAAATAGCAAAACAGGAAGATGTTAAGCAATGGGATGAAAACAGGAGGGGAGGCACATATGAGCAAATAGTCAGTAAAACAAATTTGTATAGCGATTCTTTAGCGATATTATATTCTAAATTTATTGAAACTTAACCAAATAGAAAATAATGACAGAAAACTATGCGAATATTTTGGATCTATGTGGAATGAGACCCCAATTAAAAGTATTTAGAGGAAAACATTTTAGAGAAATATTTGGAAGAGACAGATAGCAGAGAGAAATGTCAGTAAAATTATTCTGTTCTTCCTCATATCTTGTAGCCACCACAACCACTGTACCGTAGCCATCGGCACTCGTACCATGGGCGGTCAGAGGGAGAAGCAAAGTGCTGTCCAGGAGCTGGAGCTGCTCTTGTGTAAAGCTTTAAATGCATTAAATTGTCAAAGCGTTTGGCTATGCTAAAAGTTTGCTGCTGGCCATAAAATTGCATGCCACAGACAAAAAAGGAGTCGCCCCGGTCCCAGTCCCCCATCCGAATCCCAATCCGAGGCTGGTCAGTCAGTCAGTCAGTCAGTTCTAAAACCAAATGAATGATGAATTGCCTGTCACTTGCAATTTTTGCGGAGAGACGGAAACACAGAGAGGACCGATGTCCGATATCCGATGGTTGTTCGTCTTCGCCGCCTTGTTGAAATTTTTCATGTTTTTCTAAGGCCCTGAAAGAGATGGTTTCCCCCTGGCCCCGACGCGTCGTCTGGACATGCTACCAAAATGTTGACATGCTGACTGCTTTCATGGAATTTGCGTTTTAAAAAGGCGGCAAACGTTGACATCCTTGTCATTGTCCATGTCTGAGTTTCGGTCGAGAATGTTTTCGTTCCCCAAAAATTTAATTGGGCGCCAGGAAAAGCAGAGCCAGAAAATAGAATGGGGGGGGGGGGGGGGGGGGCTTTAAAATGCTATATACTCTTTATAATATTTTAATGAAATTTTTTATTAAAACCATATTCTCTCCCAGTTCAATAAATTCTTTTAACTATTATAAATAAATATCTATTTTATTTAGCTGGACTCCTGCACATCTGCTTAATATCTCTTCCTCCCAATAATTCCTTACCAACTCAGCCGAACACAAATCATTCCTCTTTTCCATTCGAAATTAGTCAATTTTGGTTGCCACAAATTGCATTCATCATGGTGATAGGGAACGAGAGCATAAACATATTGTAATGTTCATGCCATGTCCATATCGAAATGACCAGATATCCACTAGAAATTGATTGTTTGCCGATTTATTCCGACAGTTTTACGGCGATGGAGGGGTGCCGGATATCATTAGGAATGCAAATAAATACGCACAAAACGCATGGATATTTGGGAAACATTTTAAAATGCCAGAACGGATGAATTTATGGCGCCAATGCGGCTATCTATGGCCCTCTTTCCCCCACCGCCTCTCTGTCAAAATTCATCAAAGTCCATCAAAATGCACTGACCACCACGACACGCCCCCTTGGGCATGCGTCAATTATGAAACGAGTGAAAGCCAGCGATAGGGCCCCCTGTCAGGGTCTCCCTGCGAAAAAAGTTCCCTAAAATATGTGTCTGCATAAATTTTCCCACTCCCAAACAAACAGAACTCAAAAATAAAACCAAAATTAAATTAGTTAATTAATGCATGCCAACAAACAAAAATATAGGAGGATGGGAAAGGGGGAGAATCGGGGTCACCCATCAATCATGGGACGCAAGGGTCGCCGTCGCCTCATGCGTGTGTCAAATATTTTTGGTCTACCGACCCGTAGATTGCTTTCGCTTTCACTCTAAAACACAAAAAACCAAAACCAAACCAAGCCAATCCGAACCGCAATCCCCAATCCCATGGCCAGGTCCGATTCCTCTCTTGACAGTTCAAATTGCCCAGGGAAGAAATATTCACAAATTAGTGGCCCACATATCTGTGTGCGTGTGTATCTGTGTGTCAGGTAAAAGTGATTAAGCGGTTGGCGTTGGCCGTAACCCAAAATTATCCAAAATAAATTATGCAAAGAGGCAAAGGCAAAGCCAAATGTATCACATTTCGCGCTTTGCGGTTATATCTTCATTTTTTTTCCTCCGTTTGCACACGCCCCTAAGCCTACAGCTAAACATCAGATTTCCATTAGCCAACAAGGGTTAAGCGCTGCTCAAATGAATCTGCTGTTGGCAATACCCATATATCGAAATACTCTAGAGAAATATTTGAATGATGGATATTAAAAGATAGAATGGGCGGGAATTTTATATCGGAAGAGCTCAAAAAAACATTCCAAATCAGACAGAACTATCCACAGGAAAACCAAAAGCAAAAAAATACATTTACATTTTGCTATTAAAATGAAAAAATATTTCATAGTTTAATTACAAATTATCATAATTAAAATAAATATTTTCATGTTTAGATTAAATATTTTCATAAGTTCCACATTCCTATATTTCAATAGCAGAAGAAATAAATGCCTCCACATTCATCACTTGTTCTTTATGCCCCGCCTATATGTTAGAGCATCCCTCCCAAAAGGACATTCCCTAATGTGGATTGACATTCTTTCAAACGTTTAAATGGTATCCCTGACGGGCTAAGCTAACCCTTTGTGGTTTTGCATTCATTTCTGTCCACATTGTCTATTTTTTTTTATTTCTGGGCAGGTGTTTGGTTTGGGTCATGTGCAAATTTGCATAAAAAAGAAACAGAAACGAACTTTGTTCTGCATTTTTAATTAATTAATTAAAGGCAAGTCGCTGAGCCAATAACGAGGCTATCAACGGCAACGTCATCGTCCCCGTCCTAATCAACGTCATTATCATGGGAGACCCAGCCAAATATTTGTCCCTACCTCTTGTCCCTGTACGTCGTGTTTCCGCTGTAAGCCTTTGCCTCGACGTGGACGTGAATGCGAACGTGGCTTTGTCTCTTCTGTGTGTTTGCATATGCATGAACCTAATTTTAATTAATATTTTATTATCTTAATTATGCATCGCACCTTGCCGCGCTTCCACTTCCTCTGCCAACTGGCCGGCCCTGTCCGGCCCTTTGGTCGCTTCGCTGTTTGAGTTTTGCGCTTAGTTTTCGACCTTTTGCTTAACAAATTATGGCCATAAATAAAGTAAACGAGTTAAAAGTGGTTTTGCGTGTTTTCGAGAATGCCCAGGGCCCCGCCTCCCCCAACACTCAGTAGTGTCTGGCGGAGGTCTAGCCGAGCCGCACTCTGGATTGGAGCAGGAAAAGTTCCCTGGCGCTAGGCTAATGTCTTTCTCATACCCTCCCTCCGAAGCGCTAAAAGAAACGAGAAGGAACGTGTGAGTCGCTTCTGGGGACGCGACTCTACTTTTATACCCGAACCTAGTCAGTATGTACATTTTTGAACTTATGATTTATGTAGAATCCAAATCTGAGATATCAGGCGGACAGAAATCAGCAGAAGGTCGCTGGTTTTTTTAATTTCTCGTTTTTTCTTGTTTCTCTTTGTATTTCGTTGCTCTCTTTTTTCGATCTAATTTCTCTCATTTTCTGCCTCCACTTTTCACCGTTCAAATGGCAGAAAACCGTTAAATTCGAATCTGAAATACCAGGCGCACAGAAATCAGCAGAAGGTCGCTGGTTGTTTTAATTTCTCGTTTTTTTCTTGTTTCTCTTTGTATTTCGTTGCTCTCTTCTTTCGATCTAATTTCTCTCATTTTCTGCCTCCACTTTCCACCGTTCAAATGGCAGAAAACCGTTAAATTCAAATCTGAGATACCAGGCGCACAGAAATCAGCAGAAGGTCGCTGGTTTTTTTAATTTCTCGTTTTTTCTTGTTTCTCTTTGTATTTCGTTGCTCTCTTCTTTCGATCTAATTTCTCTCATTTTCTGCCTCCACTTTCCACCGTTCAAATGGCAGAAAACCGTTAAATTCAAATCTGAGATACCAGGCGCACAGAAATCAGCAGAAGGTCGCTGGTTTTTTTAATTTCTCGTTTTTTCTTGTTTCTCTTTGTATTTCGTTG